CATCCTGGGCCCGATTCCCTCCAATGCGGTGTAGTACCCTGGGGGATGCGCTACCCATGGGTAGCCATGTTCGCTCACGACCGCGCAGCCACGAGCGATGACGCTGTCGTTCCTCCCCTTCCCTCCGGTAATGGCGCGGTCCTGCTCTCCGTGTCGCCGCTTCGTCATCCTCCACATCTCTTCGCCCTTCCTTTCTATCGCCACTGCCTCTTACTTTCTTCCATCCTCGAGGCGCTTGCGCTTGGTTGCTATCAAACATCGTGGCTTATAAAGAGGAGGTGATTTGCACATCGAAGAACTCAAACATGCATTCCTTCCATACTTACTTCTTCTTGCTCCGTCCTTACCTTGACGTCATTTCTTTTTTACCTGCTCCTCCACCTCTTTCGTTCTTGTTCTTCGTCCGCCGCCTCCGCCGCCTCCGATGGCGCCCCCGCGGAGTCGTTCTTCGTTTCCCTATGCAACCACCCATATCAGTATCAGTAGTCGCCCATACTCCTTCGCTATCGCCGGCGGCGCACTGGGGGCCTCCTCTTCCGGCGCCGTCCGTACCACCTCAGTAGCCGCCCATACCGCGGCCACAACTGCCTCCCCCGCGCGGCGGCGTGGACTCGCCGGCTGCCATCGATCCTGCGCAGAGGTCGGTCGGTGGTGCGACTCGGCGCCGCCGGGCGGGGCGGCGGGCCGCGGCCGGGACTGACCGGTCGCCAGTGAGGTGCGGTCGATAGGAGCTGCCGGTGGTGCTGTCTGTTCGTCTGTCCACCTGTCTGTCTGTCTGTCTGGAGGGGAGGAGGGTGAGCAGGGTGTGAGAAGCGGATGGAGGCCCGGCGAGAGCAGTGATCAGGTGAGAGTGGGTCGCGTTCTCACCTGTCCTGGTGGGGAGGGGTTGTCATCTATCGATCATTTCCTGCCCGTCTTCATTCTGATATATTTATTCTTCTAGTCGCTTTGTTTGATATTCGATAGCATCTCATGTGCGGTGCGCTCATCCACCGCACACCACGTGCAGCATATCCGGCTATAATTTAGTTAGTTATTCACCTGTACACCCCCGTTCGGCAGACACATTTCACCCTCTGCCCCTCTCTGACTTCTGATTGGCGCACTTCTCGCCCGAGTCAGACGAGTTCTTTCTTCATGCTTGGCTGCGGTGTGTCTGCTGTATCATGTTGGCTAGACTTGACGTTTTTATGACGCTTCGGCTTCGTGAAGTCGTTGACTGATGCTTATTGCGTCCCTATATCCCGTCCGAGAATGCCGTGAGTTGCAGCCATTTCCGTTTTAGTGGGCGCTAGGCACGGTCTGAAAATGCACTCAGCCAGTCCGCGGTATAATTCATGCTATTGTTAGGGCTCATATCTCATGACAGTTCCTTTCAAATTGTGCATAATTTAGCCATGGCCGGTATGCCTTTCTGCATTCATGAGTTGCTATATCCTGCCCACTCACCCAAAGCGCCGAATCGTCCACCAGCCCAGCCGGCCCGGTATCCCCGTGTCTCGCCGGGCCTGTCATATCGACCCTCCCTGCCCGGGCTGACTGGCGGAGCCCTGAATACGAACCTTCCTACGGGGGAGCCGGCCACGCCCTTTGACCAGCTGACTGCCGGGCCGGAGAGTCGTTACGGCGCCCCGCGTCCTACGGCCCCCTCTCAGTTACTCTGAAGGGAAGCTGGAAGGTGCTGCGCGGTCGGTGATACAGCGACTACTGGTATGCTTTATTAGTTCTCCGTAGCTGCCGTCCCATTGCGACTTGTCATAATGCCGTTCTGAATACATTATGAAACAGCTTGTATGGATTCCGTGATATGGATTACATCCCTTCTTCTGTCTCATCTTCCTCGCCGGAAGATGAAGATGATAGAAGATATCGAACGGAAGTTACCTTCCTTGTGACGGACTGGGAACTGAGTAGTGTCGTGCGGTACAGCCTACCAGTTCAGGCAGGCATGGTGCTGACATCTATCGGCGAGATTTTCGTACAGTTTCGGCCGAGCCGCACTGGGCCGCTAGAGCGTGTCATGTTAGGCTACTGTGAGACGCCAGGTTGAGTCAATGTGGGGCCCATGTTGACGTAACGCTGTTGAGCAACGTGGGGCGCCATGTTGAGCTAACATTGCACAGCATGCTAATCCAATGTGGGGTGCAATGATGAACAAGCGTATGGCGGTATGTTTAGCAAGCGTGGTTCGTCATGCTTAGCCAACGTGGGGTCCGTGGGCGCCATTTTGATTTTGAGCTCACGTAATGCTGATGCTGGTCAAACGTGGATAGGTGGCTATATCGAACTAGCGTAGCTCTCTCCAAGCGGTATTCTGAGCCACCGAACGGATGGATCTATATTCCTGGACTGCGTGTGGTAACGAAGCCACACCACAGTCGTTACATACGTGTGGCTTTATCGGGCGGGACGTGTGTAGATATGTCCCGGCCAATGCGGCAGCAGGTGTTGACGCTGGGTTCGTTATTCGATACCTCTGTAGTGGTGGGTATGTTTGCCTTACCAATCAAACGCCGGCATATAGCATTAGTGTGTCTACCAGTTTGGAGGATATTTAGTGCAGTTTTCTGACTGAACTGTGCCTGCGAAGGCCAGTCGACAATATTCGACATTACTTTCCGCGCTTGGTTCGAATAGACTCGGTCTTTACAGATACTAGGGAAGTGCTGGAACACATGATGCGATCGCATGACGTCGATGACCTCAATATACGACTCGGATGAACTTTACCTTCAGCATGACGCTCTCACTGACGAACTTGTCAAGTTTGACAGGTAGTGCCTATGTGGTTCGTGGTATTTCTTCATGACTTGGGCCGTATTTAAGTTTACTGTTCTTGAAGTAAGCTAACTGGTGACCTGACTGGTAACATTATTCTTGAGAGATTGTTCAGTTTGTTCATGAAGCATTATTGAGTTTGGTGATAATTACCCGAGTTCTTCGTTTGCCTCAAGTAACTAATGGGGTGAGTGGCAATTGACATTGATTAGTGATACTGATAAGCGTCGTTTCGGCAATGGTATCCTATTCTTCTTCGCCAACTATCGCACCTTTTCATATTGTGTTCTTCTTTTCATGCGTCATAGGCCTCAAAACGTGCTGCGGTGCTCGTACCGCAACGTACAGTAACACTTCGTTGCGTACCGCACGGCAACAGTCATACCTTGGTGTGTCGTACCTTGGTTACCTTTGTGTATCATACCTTGGTCCATCATGTTCCGTAACGTACCTACGTTATAGAGTACCGTGCCGTACCGTAACTTTCCGTGTCGCGCCGTACCATGGCGTGTCGTTCCGTGCTCGCCGGCGCCGCGCCCGCCGGCCGGCACCTGTTGAAAGCGAAAGGTATCGATGTGCGTCCCGGCTCCATTGTGACGCGCTGAGGGTGCCAGCGCTGAGGGAATCGTCCGGAGGGAACTGGAGGGACGGAACGGGACGGGACGGGACGGGACGGGACGGGACGGGACGGGACGGGACGGGACGAGACGGGAACTGGACGGACTGGAACGGAAAGTGACGAGATGGGACAGGCGTGGAATGAACAAGGGAAGGAAACGGAATGAGACCGAACGGAAAAGTTTCTGAGGGAGCGCTATTACATACAGGCAGTATGTACGGCTGGCCAGGTGATTTCGTCTGAGGGTATGATTTAGAATTGCGTAGCTTGCTGGTGTGCATCAAATAACCCTTTTGCATTGCTCGAAGCCGCTGCCGCTGTGGAAAACGTGGCCACGCTTCACGTTTGTCAGGAGCTGCACTTTTACTGTCGAGTGGCACTGAGGTAAATTGGTCGCCTGCCGGTGGCCGGCGTCGCTACTGCGCGTTCCCCGTGATCCAGCTCAAGAGCCGCCTTCAAAGACGCCGAAAGGCCTGGCGAGCTTTTATGACGGTCTCCTTACACGATGAGTGTTATTTCTTTAACCGCGGAGGCGGGCTTTTAGACTTGGTTGAATGGAATCCTGAGATGAAATTAATGAAGGTGGTGCGCCCAGGCTTAATCTCGTCTTTAATGTCTCTTCTTTTATCTTTTTGAGTGATACAGGCGTAATTTTAGTCTTGCGACGCTAAGATGATAAATGTTACGTGGTGATTGCACATTGCATCAGTACATTGCGTGTCAGAATTACGACTCGGGGAACCGCGACGTGTTGATCATTTGTGTTTCTTCCTGCAAACGATATTCCCTGCTTGCCGACTGCCCAGTGGCAGCGTCTATCCTTTCGCAAACTGACTGGATTTTCTTGTGTTCCTGCCACCACATTGATCAGTGCTTCCCGTCCGTTTCCCCATCAGACTGACCACCGACTCGAGTTTCTTGCTTTCGGAGCGCCCAGCGAATCGAGTGTGTTGCCCTCATACCGGCCACTAGCTCACGTGGAACCAATATTTCCACTCCAGTAAACCGTAACAAACTGAGCTCTGATTCCCATGCTTGTTTGACCTCAGGCTGTCAGGGGTCGAGTGTTGGGTCTACCTGGTATGCCACTGTCCTTGTTCGTTTCTCTCCAGGCGAACGGTGACCTGGTGTGTGTGTTTTGGAATGACCGGACCTGTTCCCAGACTGGCCTCTGGCCTCTGTATTATGCCCTCTGACCTCAGTATCCGCAGGTGACTCTCGCTCAGAGATGCCATTGACTGTCGTATATCTGTTGTTCCGTAGGCGACTCGCTATGTGTTTTTGTCCCCAGACTGACCTCTGACCTCTTACATGTGGCCTGTGACCTCTGCCTGCTGACATGTGTGTCTTCAGGCTCTCTCAGATGACTCTCCCTCAGACTATCGTATATCTGTTGTTCCGTAGGCGACTCGCTATGTGTGTTTGTCCCCTGACTGACATCTGATCCCTGCTGTTTTCAAACGGACCGGTGTCTCCCTATGTGTGTTTGTCCCAGACTGACCTCTGACCCCCGACCTTTGTGCCTGTGCAGGCGGACCGGTGACTCCCTATGTGCGTTTGTCCCCAAACAGACCTCTGACCCCCGCCCTTTGTGTCTGTGCAGGCGGACCGGTGACCCTCGCGTTCAGTCACCACGGGTAGCTGCAGTTTCCGGTGAGTGCTCCGTCTAACAATATTACATTCACTGTTTCTAGTTCAAGGCCCATTAGTTATAACTGTGCTCATTTCGCCGAACTTTGCTCTAATTTCTCTCGTAGTTAGGCCGCTTCCGCGAACCATGTCTGCGTCTTCAGATATTTTAAACGAATGGAAAGTAGTCTGGGACACATAACCGTATTTTATTATCAGTTATATGCGCTTTTCGAAGGGCTTGTGCACTCTGAAAGTTTCACCCATCATGACAGGGGATAAAGCTCCGCATAAGGGTCTATAGCACAAGTCCTTGATATAAATTCCGATTTTCTCCACGTCTGGCTGGGTCTCAGGAGGCGGGCTGTCTCCTCTCAAAGCGCGACTGAATTGTTCCGGAGATGGAAACGGGCGCCGTGTGGCGTCCAGCCGACAGGTTCGCTGCGGCTGGCATGTTGTTACGGATGGGGCCGAAAAACAGCGCTCCTGAGGGATAAGAGGATACGCCGAGTCGGCTTTGTGGGAGCTGTGGATGAACCGAGGCGCCGGCTTATGCTGCGATGGCCGAACCGTTATGGATGAAACAGCCTTCACTTGATAATCGTAAATTGCATTTCAAAGCATATTCAATTTGTTGCTAAGAGAGCTGTGTTGGTGGCTTGTTTTCATCCATCCTTATTTCCATGGCGTCTTATGTTCTTATATGGTGCGAGTATCCAATGAGAACCAAGCTTTCTCCGCTACGACTAGAGTGCTTGATTTTAGGGCGCAGTAGTGTTGAGCACAAACACGGCTATTTTCACATTTGTATTGATAACCGCAGCTCAATCAGCCCCGGCGGTGTGTCGTGCGGGTCAGTATACCCTCCCAGGCGGCGATGGTGCTGCCATCTCTCGGCGTTTTTCTCGTCCCCGTCTGCACCCCGCGACCCACTGCTCCCCCGCTCCTTTGCCGTTCTGGCAGGATCAATACACGTGTTGGAATGCGGGCCGGGCCGCCCGTGATGCCGCCAATAAGGCGAAATTTGCATCTCCGTCCTCTGGAGCGGCCGACGCGCCGGACCGGAATGGAGGAAAATTAGCATCACGAGGGGGACGAGATATCCTCTGAGACGATCATTGCGCTGTTAGCTTCTTATCATATTGCGTATCACCGTATTTGTGCAGCGTATTTGATGGTTTACTGGTTCATACCAGTCACAAGTGGACGAAATATGGACGATAGTCTCTATTCTTGGCCGCATGGGTGATATCTTCATTTTCAGTATTGCTGCGCAGTGCGCATACAATATTTACGTCCCTCTTATTGACTTAACAAGAGCCGGCGACAGCTATGAGTAAGTCAATGACGCGGCAAATGCATTCAGTGTTCCATTTGTGGATGTCAAGTAACTTAGTAAAGTACGCATCTGGGGTAGGCTGCTGCATATCCCGCATAGTTTTCTTATTGAACTGATGCGTGTTTTACGCATGCCGGCTAGGAATCTGGTGCGAGGCGTAGTAAAGGAAGCACTTACTTTTCTTGTTTCTTTGGCTATGAGATCATCTGGGAAAACTGGGTTTCTCTGATGCTGGACGAGACAGAGGCATCCCTAGATGGGGGTTTTTGGCTGGTCCTGTTATCTATCTAGTCTCTCTTTGAGTGTCGGATCTGTGCTATTGTTAGCTGATCTGTTTGGAGTTTGTGTCAGACGTATGGATTCCTAGGCTCGCTTACTTTTGAAGCATGCAGCGGTGGCAGCGGCGAAGATGTGTGGAGAATCAATCAAATGAATCTCACCTGAAGTGAAACGAATGCATGTCAATAACGACAAAAATGCATAAAGACCGCAAGAATCAATCAAATGAATCTATGCTCAAGTGAAACGAATGCATGTCAATAACAACAACAATGCATATAGACCGCTATGTGAGCTGCGGTGCCATTTCAGCAATCAACAATCGCGTCCATGCCGCGCGAGGTCCTACCACGGCTAACTCGGTCACGAATCTCCCGCCGCTAGATGTCAGCAGTGGTACCTCCCTGCAGTGGTAGCCTGACCCGCCTGACCCGCCGGGCCGTCTCACGCCTGCCTGCCGCACTACGGCCGCTGCCGTCGCCGTCGGTTCGACTCCCGGTCGTAATTGGCTGGTGCCAGCGGCGGCGCAGTGGTTATGGTGTACCGTTTCAGCCGTAATTGGACGAACCGATGAGGGTGATTGGCACGCCCCGAACCAATCATCTTCGGGGCGGCGACTAAAGAGGCCAATCACGGGCGCTTGGGTCATTATTCGGGGACTAGTTGAGTTAGTGATCGTGGCATGCCATCGGCGAAGGAATGATCGTAGGTAAGGGATCGAGTTTCGTCACTGTGTATATGTGATGCAATACTACTTAGAGGTTTATCCTACCGTTTTTCTCAGCAAAATTGAATTATATTATTTATATTATGTCACGCTTCTATTGCTCTTTTCTCTTTGCTCTCTCTCTCTCTCTCTCTCTCTCTCTCTCTCTCTCTCTCTCTCTCTCTCTCTCTCTCTCTCTCTCGCTCTCTCCACTCTCTCCCCGTCCTCCCTCCTCTCTCTCTCGCGCTCCATCGGTTTCCGTGCGCCGCTTCATCAAGCGGCGACGCGATGTCTTGCTGTGATTATCGGGGCGGCCCGGTTGCCATGGCGACGCCTGTTGTCGCGGGGCGCTTCCTGCGTGTCGCTGCTGTCGGAAGCGGCGCAGTCAGTGCCACTTGGACGGATGTTTGCCGGGGAGATGACGCTGAGTGGCGAGCCATCTGGCGCAGCCTCTGGGCTCTCACCGGCTGTCAGAACCGTCACACCCCCTCCCTCCCCCTCCCTCCCCGTTCCCCCGGCTCCCACCGGCTGTCAGACTGTCACTCCCCTCCATCCCTCTTCCTCTCTCCGGCTCTCACCGGCTGTCAGACTGTCACTTACCCTCCCTCTCCCTTCGGCCCCACACTACCCCATCCTGCCGGGCTGTAGGCAGGATATAACGGTGCCGGAGAATTGATGTCTCTTATGTCTGGAAGTGTTATCGTGAGGCGTTCGCCATACATCAAATGAGTAGATTAGTGCATGCGCACTTGAGGTGTTGTTCTGTTTTGATGGCTAGTAACACTTGATCTGATAGCCATATAAGTTGAACGTTAATTAATATGAATGATGCAGTGATGTTGATGGATTAGAGAGCCTTGATGAAGGGATGGAGTGAAACACTCCATAGGTGGCCACTATTTATAGATATGTAGTGGTCTATGTTGAGTATCCATGACAGGTTGGATGATGATGTAAATAATAAACCAAATTATTACAAATGCTTACTACGTACACTCCTGCCGGCCCGTCCATTGATGCTGGCACATTGCGGGATCAAGCCAACCAAAGTAACTGGTTCGGATGAGAAGGACAGGGATGGAAAGAATGCACGCCGACCATTCTTTCCGTTGGACGCAGTTGGATGCCGGGCCAGGTGTAAGCGGTGTGTCAGTCACCTGTGGGCTGTGACAACTCGGTATCAAATACGTCACCTTCGTGTGTCAGATGTGTTGTCAGAGCTGTGTGTTATATTGTATGTCAGCTGTGTCGGTGTCTTTCGAGAATCTCTTGACGATCCTAGTCGGCCGCTCGTCTGATTGTTCACCGGAGAAGTAACTCGCTCTTGGAACTGACCCGGAAGCCAGCGACTGTTGACGATGCTCAATAACAGCGTACAGTCGGCGACAGTCACCAAGACAGTCAGACTAAAGTCGGCGACAGTGGCCGAGACAGTCAGACTAGGGTCCGCGACAGTCGCCAGCGACAGTCAGCCTACAGTCGACGACAGGCGCCAAGACAGACTAGGGTCGGTGGCAGTCAGTGACAGACTACAACGGCCTTTAACTAACGTTACTTGTGTGAGATACATGAGATACAAGGACTGTATGAGAGAGGAATATTGGAAGTAGATGATCCACGAGAGAGACTCCGCAGTTAGAACCTTGATGCTCCGTCGTAGAAGTGATCTTTTCATCGCTGCTGGTATTGCTCTCCGAAGACAGAGTGTGTGCGTCCCTGGGGCAGAGCGGCGGATAAATCTGCGGCCGCCGGTGACTGATCGGGCGGGTGGGCGCCGGATTCATTGATTGGGTGTGTGTCGGACAGCATGAACGAGCTAGATTGATTGGAATGGATCGACTGACGTGGCGGTGAGCCGCTGGACGCCCCGGGCCGGCTGTAGGCTGTCGGCCGTAGGCTGTCGGGAGTAGGCTGGGTCTACTGTGGGCTCGCGGGTCTAGGCTGGGCCGGCTGTAGGCTGTCGGCCGTAGGCTGTCGGGAGTAGGCTGGGTCTACTGTGGGCTCGCGGGTCTAGGCTGGGCCGGATCTAGGCTGCTCAGAGTATGCTGGGTCAACTGCAGGCTGTCGGGAGGAGGTAGGATCGACTGCAGGCTTTCGCTGTAGGCTGTGTAGGCTATATCCCGGGTGTAGGCTGGGTCGGCTCTAGGTTGAGTAGGCTGGCTCGCTGTATGCTCCCTGAAATAGGCCCGGTCGACTAACGGCTACCGGTGTAGGTGGCTGCTTGGACTGCGTAGAAGCTAGTGATATTAGAATGTACATGTATATACACATGCACATTGCACATATGTAGGGGAGAGTGGGGTAAGATGCCCAGGGTGGGAAAGACGCCCCACCCCCTCTAGCGGGGAAACAAAAAAATCGAACCTGGAAATTAATGTTCTTAGCGTAAAGCGGAAGCCTGCCTTGTTAACTGCACAAAAATTTGCGAAGCTCAGTTGGGCAACGGCTGGCTGGTGATTGCATGTTTTTTATTTGCTGCTTTCAAAAAATATTTTGGCGTCAAAACATTGTAAATATCAAAGAAGGTAGATAATTTTTGCGCCCCTTGCTATAGTCGTGATACATTAACATGCGTGTACTGTGTCCCAAACAGTTTGTTTCAGGGTGTAGTTTTATGGCTAACAAATTGTGCTGATTTAATGTTACTTCGGTACCTTTGGGTAAGATGCCCCCTGTCCTGATGGGGAAAGACGCCCCCCT